GTGTGTGTGTGTGTGTGTGTGGTAGCTCTATAGATACATCAGCAGCTGAGTCTTTGCCCGGCGTCGTCTGTTGCGTGTTTGCTGAAGACATCCCCGGATCGAACGTCACTGGAGCTGTCGTGTACGATGAGACCGTCCTCGCTGACCGAGAGGTGTGCTCCTCTTCTGCTCAACCAATCAGGGGTCTCTGTTGTGTTCAAGTGAATAATGTCCCCGCCCCCTCCCTCTGCAGGTGACATGCGTGGGTCACGTCATCGGAGCCGTGGTGGCCGACACTCAGCTCCGCGCTCAGAGAGCCGCCAAGGCCGTGAAGATCGAGTATGAAGAGCTGCAGCCCATCGTCACCATCCAGGTGAGGAGGTCTGACGTCACGCAGACGACGTTTGTGTTTCAGATTTAAAAACATGACGTAAACTCGCTGCTCCGAACAAATAAACAAATAAACAGATAAATGAAGCACATTTTGTTGGTTTGTTTGACAGGAGGCCATCGCCGCCCAGTCCTTCTATGAGCCAATCAGAAGCATCCAGAAGGGAGAATTGGAGGCGGGGTTTAAACAGGCAGACCACATCCAGGAAGGTAAGACTGTTTCTGTCTGTGTGAGACACCCCCCCCCACCCCCCCAACCCAGCTAATCAATAATCCTGGGTATTGATTGGTTGATTGGTTGATTGATTGTCAGGTGAGATTCACATGGGGGGTCAGGAACATTTCTACCTGGAGACCAACGTCACGCTGGCGGTTCCCCGAGGAGAAGACGGTGAGATGGAGCTCTTCGTTTCCACTCAGGCTCCGACCAAGACGCAGGTAACACCACGCTCGATTGAACTGAAGATCGGAAACAAGGCGTTACATTTTAAATATGGGAGTGAAAAGGTATTAAATGTTTGTGTCCGTCTCAGTCTCTGGTGGCGAAGGCGTTGGGCGTCCCCGCTAACAGGGTGCTGGTGCGAGTGAAGAGAATGGGCGGAGGCTTCGGCGGGAAGGAGAGCCGAACCACCGTGTTGTCCACTGTGGTCGCCGTGGCAGCGAACAAGTACGTCTTTAAATCACTTGTCTCTTTGTGCAATAATCTTCAGGAGTCTGAGACGTTTCCTGTGTTTCAGGCTGAAGAGGCCGGTGAGGTGCATGTTGGACAGAGACGAGGACATGTTGATCACTGGAGGGAGACACCCCTTCTATGGGAAATACAAGGTAGGAGGCCGCCCCCTGCTGGAGAGGGTACTGTTTATGGTACCCCCCCGTTGGAGACGGTTTCTGTCGCAGCATCACTGATGATTGTTCTTCTCTGGTTCCAGGTGGGTTTTCTCAACAGCGGTAAAGTCGTGGCTCTGGATGTGTCGTACTACAGCAACGCAGGAAACTCCATGGACCTGTCTCTGTCCGTGAGTATTGTTTCTAACCGCAGAGTCGCTCCTCTCACACTTTACGCTGATGATGTGCTGATGGTACCGTGTGTTCGTCCAGGTCCTAGAGCGAGCTTTGTTCCACATGGAGAACTCGTACAGTGTGGCTAACATTCGCGGCCGAGGCTTCTGTTGCCGCACCAACTTGCCGTCCAACACCGCGTTCAGAGGCTTCGGAGGGCCGCAAGGCATGATGGTCGCTGAGAGCTGGATGACGGACGTGGCTCAGAGGGTGGGGAGGCCGGCGGAAGAGGTGAGTGGATGAGTAATGTCACACCTGACGAACAAGAGGAATTCTGGTGGGAAACGACATCCAATCAGAGTCTCTGTTTTCCTCCAGGTGCGTCGGTTGAACCTGCACGTGGAAGGGGAGGCGACATCCTACAACCAGGTCCTGGATCAATTCACTCTGGACCGCTGCTGGGACGAGTGTCTGTCACGATCTGATTACCAACAACGCCGAGCTGCCATCGACCGCTACAACAGGTAAAACCCTGGACTGAAACACTGTCCAACACTGTCCAAGTGTCCGAGAGACGTGTAAACACTGAAACTGGATCAAATGAGGTGACTCTGGTTTAAAGCAGATACAGAGTTCTGACAGTTCTGTTTCCTGTCTCTGAGGCTCTTATGTTTTTGTCCCCTCAGACAGAACCGATGGACCAAACGAGGCCTCGCCATCGTCCCCACCACGTTTGGTATCAGCTTCACGGCTGTTTTCCTCAACCAGGTCTGATCCGCGCCGACTCACACACCGTTGAACCGTTTCTATAAAACTTGTGGTTTTGAAACGGGATGTTTGGTTGTGGTGTTTTCAGGCCGGAGCTCTGGTTCACGTCTACACCGACGGTTCAGTGTTGTTGACTCACGGTGGGACAGAGATGGGACAGGGTCTCCACACCAAGATGGTGCAGGTACCAAACTAAACAAACATCCATGTTGGTTTTCGTTGCTCATTCACTCACCTTCGTTATATTGTCGTCATTTTATTGGAAATCTTGTGGCCATCAGCGGAACTGCAGCACTTGTCTCTGATGGTTTCTGAGTCTCTAACGTGGGACAAGTGGAGACTGTCTTTTTATTTCCTGCTGTGGAACTTGGTGTTTCCAGGTCGCCAGCAGAGTTCTGGATATCTCGTGTTCAAAGATCCACATCTCAGAGACCAGCACCAACACAGTCCCCAACACCAGCCCCACTGCCGCCTCCGCCTCCTCCGACCTCAACGGAGCCGCCGTGCAGAACGCCTGCGAGGTCCTCATGAAACGTCTGGAGCCGTACAAGATCAAGAACCCCAAAGGATCATGGGAGGACTGGGTGGGCAGGAATATTTAGAACATTCTTAGTAACAGAAGTTAAAATCATTAATAAATTAATTTTACTCCCTGAATTCTTCACATTTAGTCAAATACTTTTCATCTAAACTTTGTCAACATCAAGTTCTTTTTTCAGGTGTTTGTTGGTTGAATATTCAAACTCTGTATTTCTGTCGGTTCCAGGTTAAAGCTGCGTATTTCGACCGAGTCAACCTCAGTGCCAACGGATTTTACAAGTGAGTTCAGTCCGGGAGTCGCTGGTTTCGTTCATCTGTTCATCAATAATCAATAAAATTAATACGATGGTACTATTTCCTGTCAGGACTCCAGACCTTGGTTACGACTTTGACACAAACCGCGGCCGAGCGTTCAACTACTACAGCTACGGAGTCGCCTGTTCAGAGGTGGAGATCGACTGTCTCACCGGAGCCCACAAGGTCCGTCTGAAACCAAACGCACCAAACAGAAAGTGTCTCTTTTAAAAAGACGAATGAAGGTGTCCCACGGGACCAACATGAGGCTCCACACGTCAACGTTCACTTACACGCTGATGACTCCGTCTTTTATGTTGACGTCTCTGCAGCTCATCTATTTATCTCTCTGAAGATTTCACTTGTGCAAAAGTCGGTTTCTGTGTTTTAGGATACATAATA